ATTAGATTGGGTTTTTAGGTAATACATGCATGGGACAAATGTTCTCAGATAGGAGGCAAGAGCCTACAATTCTAATCACTGTTTAGGTAAGGGATTGTATACCCTGATTGTTAAAGTAATGGGTTCACTGGAAGATTTTGTGAGAAGGAAATTCACACAGGTTTAAAGCCTTTAATGTGAAGAAGAGAACTGAAACTAAACAGGGATTGTTCTAAGGGCAATAACCCTTAATACAACAAAGCTTAAATGATGGGAAAATATGTTAGTTACAATTTCCAAGGATGGGGCTGGCCCCGTGGCTCACTAGGGAGAGTGCCGCACTGGTAGTGCCAAGGCCACGGGTTCAGATCCTATATAGGGATGGCCGGTGTGCTCACTGGCTGAGCATGGTGCAGACCACACCATGCGGAGGGTTGTGATTACTTTACTGGTGAGAAAAAAGAAAAGTGCATGCGGGTTTTTCCACATTTTGCTTTAAGCTGTTTCTTTGAGTTTCTCAAGAAGTCAGGCACTTTAATGATTGTCGTATTGTTTCTTTTGCATGTCACCTAGCTTAGATTTATGACTCTTTTGATGGTATATTGTTTAAACTATTTTGAACCATGCATGCTTGGATGAAAATTGTTACATAGCCAATTTCTTTATGTTCTTACTATGATTGATTAACCATCTGTTCTTTTCCTGTAATTTCCTTGTCTTTTCAATAAAAACTGAAGTAAAAACTGACTCAGGGCTGTACCCAGTTTCTGCTTCTAACAGAGGAGTTGCTGAGGTGCAGTCCCTTCGGGTTCCTCACTGCATTCATGTTGCTTTGAGTAATCTTTTTTGCATCTCTGTTACACAGCAGGAAGTGTAACACCAAAGTGGCTATACTATTTCGCATTCTCACCAGCAATAAATGAGAGTTACTGTTGCTTTCATATCCTTGCCAACGTTTGATGGCATCGGTGTTCTGGACTTTGGCCACTCAAATAGGTATGTAGTGGTATCTCATTGTTGTTTTAATTTGCATTTCCCTGATGACATATGATATGGAACATCTTTTCATATGCTTATTTGCTATTTGTATATCTTCTTTAGGAAGGTGCCAGTTAACGTCTTTAGCCCGTTTTTTTAATTGTTTTCTTATTGTAGAGTTTTAAGGTTTCTTTGTATATTTCGAGTAACAGTCCTGTGTCAGATATGTCTTTTGCAAATATTCTTCCCTCTCTCTCAAAGGGCCGGCCCGGTGGCGCACTGCTACAGTGCGCCGCTTGGGAAGCACGGAGGCGCTCCCGCCGAGGGTTCGGATCCCACATACAGACCGGCCGCTCACTGGCTGAGCGAGGTGCAGGAGCAACACTGAGGGTTGCGATCCCCGTAGCCAGTCCCGGTCCGGTACGGGCGCGACACTGAGGGTTGTGATCCATTGCCGGTCAAGAAAAAAGACAAAAAAAGGGAAAAAAATATATATATATTCTTCCCTCTCTGTGGGTTTACTTTTTATTCTCTTGACAGTATCTTTTGCAGAGTGAAATGTTTAATTTTTTTTTTTTTTTTTGTCTTTTGTCTTTTTTCCGTGTCCAGCAACGGATCGCAACCCNGCTCTAACCAACAGAGCTAAACCAGCTGGCTCCTAACAAGCTTTTTATTTTTTATTTTTTTCTTTTTTTGTCTTTCTTCATGTCCGGCAACGGGATTGCAACCCTCGGTGCTGCTCCCGCACCTTGCTCAGCCAGTGAGCAGGAACCGGTCTGTACATGGGATCCGAACCCTTGGCGGGAGCGCCACCGCGCTTCCCAAGCGGCGC